CCCCCCCCCCAAATATCTAAATGAGTGGTGATTTCACGAGTTCCATCATTCAAAAATAATAGATGAAAAGGAAAAGAATAAGGCGCCTTGTAGTACTGTAGCCACATCTTGGTTTTGAGATAGGTCCAGAAAATGATAACTAGACACCATGGGGAATCTTGATTCATGTGAAATTTGAAAAAGTTCACTTCAATACTTTCTGAGAAATATAGTTAACAATATTTGTTTAAGGACAGACGAGCGGCGATTTGAACCGCCCACCATCTGTTGATGGTGGGCAGTGACTTATCTTTCATTTACATCCGAAATGTGATAAATATTTCCCTGAAAGTTTGTATTAACCTTTTCAAATACTTTATAACTAGTAAGGAACTGGTACTAATATTAATACCCGGCCTCCTCTACATTGGCCGGGTATTAAATCGACCCCATGCCTTGTAATGGAGCAAGCCCAGTGTGAATCACACCGGGGTGATTTAAGAATTAATTGACAGCACATTGGTCCGTATATATCCATAAATAGGGTTGTAAAATGAACTATTTCTGTTAACTCGGCTTAAAATGTCGTTAAATTATCAAGTTAACGTAGCAAGCGCAATACGGCAATCGAAATCTGAACTGGCCGCCATGATGGAAAGTTTGTCTCTTCCGATATAGGTCAGACCAGAGACTGCCTCTTTCTACCCGTGTCGGGTAGTCTGTATGGATGACATCGATTTCATTGCAACGGCCTACGATATCGTTAGAGGATTTCCGAAACGCACCTGCCTCCCTTATTTCGGCTCTCGTAAGATCTCACTGTTAAGTCACCTTCACACCTGTGATGACCTCCCCCCAGGGGTTACTTGGGTCAGGTACGAGTGTCCAATTATAAGCTTTAAATTACACAACTAACATATAGGTGTAAAGTGAAATAATGCTCATTTCGATGCTCCGATAATACGGTTTTATCGTAAAAAGGTCCTTTTCTCTCTTAAAAGTCTATTACGGTATGTCAATTAATATTCAAAATATTTTATGAAGTCGATATATCAGAAGAAAAATAATAAAATATTGTAGAATTTAAATCACTGAACCGATTTAAAATTGACCATCTAGAAAAAACGGAATTTAAACGAAAATCTTGCCTTTTTTTCTCTCTGTATTATAATGTAACGGTTGCCAGTGACTACTTCTCGTTCTGAAATCACGGTATATTCTCAGATGAATTTAGCAATGTTGTAGTTATTTCACGAAGCTGAATCTAAAAAGCGCAACACAAAATATATTGTAGAATATAAATCACCTAACAGATTTAAAATTGTCCGTCTAGAAAAAAGGGAGTTTAAACGAAAACCTTGCCTTTTTTCTCTGTATTATAATGTAATGGCTGCCAGTGATGACTTCTCATTCCGATATCACGGTATATTCTCAGATGAATTTAGAAATGTTGTAGTTATTTCAAGAAGCCGAGTCTAAAAAGTGCAACATAAAATGTATTGTAGAATATGAATCACCGAAAATTTTAAAAATTGACCCTCTAGAAAAATCGAGTTTAGACAAAAAACTTGCCTATTTTTTCTCTATGTTATGGCTTATTATATGTCTCTGGTCAGACGTCTATATATGGGTGTCATGACCCAACATGGAATTGTAGTAAACATAGCAGCATCAGTAGTATTACTATACTTGGCCATATATAGAAAGTATAATTGAGATAACATATCACGCCGGATCTGTCATGTCAGTCGTTTCTAATTATACCTAATCTTAGAGATTAGCACTTTTGATTTTGTTCCATTAGTTGACATAGGACTGTTCGTAGCTCTGGCGATGCAATATATAACAAGAGGCCCAGGGGCCTTAATAGCCCACCTGGTATTTTATTTTTCAATTTAAAACCTGCTGAGTACCATTCAGGTTTATCAAAGGAGTACAAGTAACAAAGTTGCATCTTCCATTTATAAATATTCAATTCCCTTTGCCCAAAGATTCTCTAAAACAAGTTTGGTTAGGTTAAAATCCCTTCAACGGTACAGAAGGAGAAGGATCTTTAATGTTTTCCTCTATTTCCCCTAATGGGCCCCACTAATCTGCCCCAAAGAAGGGGAATCCACACACCTCAGTTTAAACAAAATTGATTCTTTTCTCCCTAAGCATGCTTCAGACTGCATTTGGTTTAAATCCCTTCACTTGTATAGTAGGAGAAAAAAAATCCTCTATTTCCCCTATTGGGCCCCGCTCCTATGCCGCCAGAAGGCCCACACCCTCCGTTTATACAAACTTGAGTCTCCTTTGTCCAAAGATGCTCTAGGACAAATTTGGTCAAAATCCTTCAATTGGTTGAGGAGAAGATTTTTAAAGATTTACCTATTTTCCCCTATTTGGCCCCGTCCCTCTGCCCCCAGGGGGACCATACCCTCCGTTCATACAAAACTGAGAACCCTTTGGCCAATGATGCTCCAGACCAAATTTGGTCAAAATCCCTTCATCGGTACAAAAGGAGAAGGATATTTGATGTTTTCCTCTATTTCCCCTAATGGGCCCCACCCATCTGCCCTTAGAAGGAGGCCCACACACCTCAGTTTATACAAAATTGATTCTTTTGTCCCTAATCATGCTTCAGACTGCATTTGGTTAAAATCCCTTCACTTGTATAGCAGGAGAAAAAAAATCCTCTATTTCCCCTATTGGGCCCCGCCCCTATGCCGCCAGAAGGCCCACACCCTCCGTTTATACAAACTTGAGTCTCCTTTGTCCAAAGATGCTCTAGGACAAATTTGGTCAAAATCCTTCAATTGGTTGAGGAGAAGATTTTTAAAGATTTACCTATTTTCCCCTATTTGGCCCCGTCCCTCTGCCCCCAGGGGGACCATACCCTCCGTTCATACAAAACTGAGAACCCTTTGGCCAATGATGCTCCAGACCAAATTTGGTCAAAATCCCTTCATCGGTACAAAAGGAGAAGGATATTTGATGTTTTCCTCTATTTCCCCTAATGGGCCCCACCCATCTGCCCTTAGAAGGAGGCCCACACACCTCAGTTTATACAAAATTGATTCTTTTGTCCCTAATCATGCTTCAGACTGCATTTGGTTAAAATCCCTTCACTTGTATAGCAGGAGAAAAAAAATCCTCTATTTCCCCTATTGGGCCCCGCCCCTCCGCCCCCAGAGGGGCCACACCCTCCGTTTATACAAACTTGAGTCTTCTTTGTCCAAAGATGCTCTAGGACAAATTTGGTCAAAATCCTTCAATTGGTTGAGAAGAAGAACATTTTTAAAGATTTACCTTTTTTCCCCTTATTTAGCCCCGCCCCTCTGCCCCGAGGGGGGGCTATACCGTCCGTTTATACAAAACTGAGAACCCTTTGGCCAATGATGCTCCTGACCAAGCTTCAGACTGCATTTGGTTTAAATCCCTTCACTTGTATAGTAGGAGAGAAAAAATCCTCTACTTCCCCTATTTGGCCCCGCCCCTCTGCCCCCAAAGAGGCCACACCCTCCGTTTATACAAACTTGAGTCTCCTTTGTCCAAAGATGCTCTAGGACAAATTTGGTCAAAATCCTTCTATTGGTTGAGAAGAAGAAGATTTTTAAAGATTTACCTATTTTCCCCTTATTTGGCCCTGCCCCTCTGCCCCCAGGGGGGTTATACCCTCCGTTTATACAAAACTGAGAACCCTTTGGCCAATGATGCTCCTGACCAAATTTGGTCAAAATCCTCCGAGCCATTCAGGACAAGTAGCATTTTAAAGGAAAAAGACGCCGGACGCTGCACCATGGGATAAGCTCACTTGGCCCTTTGGGCCAGGTGAGCTAAAAATTCTCTCGTCCTCAGAAAGCTACATTTTCGCAGCTAGTAAGGAACTGGTTCAGGGCCGACCTCGAAACTCGAGGAGTTATGCTGACTTGTGCTCTCTGCACTCAAGTAAGCATAACTGTAGTGGGACGAGGAATAGTGATAAAGATAGTGCCATCGCTGGGGCTCGAACCCGCGACCCATGGCTCTCCAGCTGAGCTAAAGGGAAATTTCCTACAGCTGATGCTTGTAAGGCAACCTAATTAATCAACATCTTTTACACTATACCCCCTTTTTTCAAAAACCAACCCAGGTTCTTCGATTCCCTGCGAAGGGTTCTCCTACCTTGAATGGGGAGGGACAACGGCACTAACTTGTAGTAGGACGAGGAAAAGTGATATAGATAGTGCCGTCGCTGGGGCTCTTACCCGCAACCCATGGCTCTCCAGCCCGATTCTCTACTGCTGAGCTAAAGGGAAATTTCCTACAGCCGACGCTTGTAAGGCAATCTAATCAATGCACATCTTTTACATAACTCTTCCGAGTATCGAGAATAGTTCGGGGAAAGTTGACATCAAATTCAACTGGAACAGTCAATCTGATCATTTAATTACAAGTTAATCACTCTTATAATATATATATATAAAGAACAAAAACTCTTCATTTAAGGTAACAAATTTGTATTCAAGACTTCATAACATACACTCAATGTGTAAGCACCAAATCATATTCGTATTAAATACAGTAACATTGAAATTATGGAAGTACAACAACAACACAATCCACAGTTGGCACGATAAAGCACACAGGTGCATCAACAATTGGGGCTAGGACAATATATGAACAAAATTTGCTTATAATTAAACCTGAAGTCTTTCCAATTATTTCTTTTGACAAGACTTCATGAATCACAAGGACAGTATTCTGTCTTTGGGTATTGCAGAGTTATCTGCTCTTGAGAGCAGGTATTGATTGTTACGTCATTTGTTTGCGAGATTAATGTCATCAATTTTTGAGAAAACGACGTAATTTGTTTTTTGCTCTCACAAACCAACGACGTAACAAGCAATACCTGTTCACAAGAGAAGATAACTCGGCAATACACAATAAGGTGCAGAACATCACACATAGATTCATTATGATATGTAGCATATATATATATGCATTGTGAAACACATTATATTGTTCAGATTGTGTATCATCCCAGCCCCATTACAAAACAAAAAATCTCTACAGACAATAACTTTGTCATACCACGGACTTGGATAACAATAATCTAATTCCGTGGTCATACAAATAAAATCTAACAAATGTTCTCATTTTGGTCAATTGCTCCTTGGAAGTCTAATGCTTATTCTGACTATCAAAATCATGATGTCAATGAAAAAATGCACAAATTCTGTTATAAAAATTGCACAGTCAATGTCAATATATAAGTACTTAAAATGACTTAAAAGTTCATCACAACTTATATTGAATAAATCTTGATAGTAATATAGATTATCATCTCAGTTTTGGATACATTTTAAGAAAATGTGATTGTTTTTTATTTTACATATACAATTTCAGATCTGCTATATATAGCATTTCTGAAATATTTCAACCATATGCACTTTGGCTAGTACAGTCAGTAAGTAATAACAGCTACAGAATCGTCAAGGGGAAGGAAGAGGAGTGCCCAAATGCATCTCGACAGGGATTTTCATCCATCAGCCAGATTTGAAGAGAAGGATAGCAACTTGTCCTAGGTAGAAGTAGATGAAATGCTTGGTTTCGTGTGTGACATAGCTCCCGAAGTTACGACCGACAATGCAATGCCAGGTTGGGTTGTATTTTTTGTCGAACTCTTTCTTAATGAAGGCAGCAATGTCCTTCTCGATGTTGTACTTCTCCAGAGCCTGTGTGGCGCAGTCCACAGCATCCTGTTGCATGTCCTCAGCCATGTCGGCATTTTTGATTACGGCCTTTCTATCAGACATTTTGGCTGAAGAAAAAAATGAAAACAAATTCACAATTCTGGAGTTATATGTTGGCTTGCAATTAAAATAATATATATTATACAAGTTGTGCAATTTGTATGATGTCTAATTGTCTTCAGTGTGAGAATTTACTGTAAATCATATTTTAAGTTGTTCACTATAAAATCAGTTCAATGCATTATGTTCTTCATAAATCAAACAAGTTACACAAATATTGGAAATATTTACAACTTGCTTTTTCAATTCAGATGCCCTTGAGTGATATACTTTTTACTTTCTCAAGAAAAATGCATGGTAACCAGAAACTTGATATTTAAGGCATATTTTCACAGCTCTTTGATATCACGAATCACTACAGTACAACTCGTATGAATTTAATAGCAGTTTTCAGCCATTAAATTATGCTTTCAAAAACAGCTGGACCACTTGCACCAAGAAGATTGGCCCGTTGACTTTGATTCTGCCGATCTTCATCTTCATCAATAATTAATGACAACAGCTTATACAATCAAAAGGTCTGGTTTTTAAGCATTTAATATTTTTTTTGCATTTCAGTTATTATTGTTGTTTTTTATCAGAATTTCAGACTGATGCAGCCCTTCTGAGTAGAAGCTCTAGTTTTTTTCTACTATGTAAAGTTTTTAAATTTGGAAAAACAATTTGTAACAGAAAGTTGAACCATCAAACACACATCACCTTTCTTCTTTGATTGACCGTAGATTTCGTGAATAGTCGCCAAAAAACCGTTTTCTCACGCTTCACAATTTCCAAATCGCCGGTTCTGGTTCTGCGTATGATGCTGACATTAGCAACGCATCTACAAGGACGCTGTATCCGGACTTTTGATTGGATTATTACTCGATGTTAATTGGCCAAAATTATATTAATTCCACAGCGGCATATATCGTCCCAGAAAACACCTCTGCGGAAGCTCGCTGTGTTAATTTTACGCTTAAATGGTCACTGCGAAAAAAATCCATTCAAACATCGAAAAGACCCAAGCCATTCGTTGACGCTTATTCCGGAAATACGAAGTCGTACGAGTTTGGCAATTGACAACTATTCTCCAAAATGGCTTACAGAGGGGGATCTGATTGCAGAATTTACGTCGGCAACCTACCACCAGATGTTAGGCAAAGAGACATCGAAGATCTATTTTCAAAATACGGAAATGTTCGCTACATTGAGTTAAAAACTAGACGTGGTCCTCCATTTTCCTTTGTAGAATTTGAAGATCCCAGGTATGCACGTGGTGTCAAGTAGATTATTATTTTCGCTTTGTTATTTTTCGTTGCATTATATATATAAAAAACAACAAAGGAATCATTTATTGTGTAGGTACATCTAAACCTCTTAAAATGTTTTGAATTTTAATGGATGTTTTGGTTAAAAATGATTTGTGGATCCTGATCGACTAGTAATCAGGTCCAGTACACTCTGCCGACGTGCCGATTGAGCTATATAGCTATAAAGACCTATATAGCTTTATACACCTATAAATTATAGCTGTATTGAGCTATATTTTCTCAAATTTCATTAAATTAAAACAAAGTCGCATAAAACGGTAAGCTTTATGGTAATGTTGACTACAAAAAGCATACATTTAGATGTTTATTGTCATTTTTCATAAATGTAAAATTTCCGATTTCTTTACATCATTATTTTTTAAAAAGAATACTTATATTTAGTGTCTTTTGTTATCAACCTAATGATACAATCTTCTTTTAAATGCGACTTTGTTCCGTTTTCCTTAAACAAGAAAATCACTTAAAAATAGCTTAAAAGGCCTATTTCAGATAGGTCTTTACAGCTATATAGCTCAATCGGCCGAGTGTACTGGACCTGGTAATTATGTAATTATTTTACTAAGGACAGTATGAACATCACCTTAAATAAGTCTGAAATGAGTAATTGTTGATTGTTATAGAATTAGATGCCCGTCTGAATTTAACACCTCGTCACAAGTATTTGCATGTTCAGAATGTTGAAATGCTTTAGTGATCATGATCATCCTGGAGTATCGGCAAACATGGCTATTTAGCTTAATATGATACATTATGGACGCAGGCTACAAGCCTCTATATCCATAACAGTACATACAACAAAGATTTCATAATAATATACTTCAAGGTTCAATTGAACAGTTTTTTAAACTAAAAATTAAAAGTTATATTTTCATGTTTACAAACTTGCTCATCTAAACCAATTTCGAACTGTATAGCATAAGATCAATGACATACTATGGGAGACTCAGTCTGACTGTTCCATATATCAACAACGCTAACATGGAAAGTAAAGATTTTTTTCCTTATATCAAGGTGACTGTTTTTTAAAAAGTTTGTAAGAATGCCCTCCTGTTCTACTAAATCCCACTGAAGCATGCTTTCAGTCTATCAGTAGTGATAGCTAGATTTGGCTTATCCAGTGAATACACCCATGTTATATTTTTTTGCGTATTAAGGCCATTCCAATATGGCTGCCAGGCCAAACTGTATATCAAATTCAATAATGCATTCGGTTAGTATTAAACAATCCACATCACAAAAAAATTCTCCTCCAATATTTCTCAAACATATATAATTGAGGTACATGTACACTAAATTTTAGGGATAAAAAATTAATAACTGATGAAAAACCAGCTTTTTATATGTTCATTTTCCAAGCTAAATAAGTCACAATTCAGGAAAAAAAACCATTTAAACTTGTAAATATCATAAGGTTGGATCCATGGAAATGCATTTGTCGAGAAAAATGTGAGAAAATGCTCCAAATCTCGAGAATGATGGCATGTATTTTGAATGGATATTTTTACAATAATTCATCAAGCTAACAAGACTTTTGATACAAGTCAAGCCATATTACCTGAGAACCTGTAGTGAATTGTGTACAGGTAAAATCTCACTTGCTTTGCATGCTTTTTTCCAACCTCGGTCAGCCTTGTTCGCTTTGTGCTCAGTTGTGATTTATTCAGGGGAAATATATGCCATTATTCTGGAGATTTGACAAATTTTCTTACAATTTTCTTGACAAATGCATAGATCTAAAGTGTTGACCAAGCAGAAGTCCGAATTATTCTGTCGTTTTATCATTTTTTTTTTATATCGGTCTGTCGTCGATTAACGTCGGACCTCCAGCCCTCTATAATATGCGGGAAATATGCAACCCATGCCCGGAGCGCACTCCTAACTGATATTTTAGAAACAAATATACCCTGCAGCGTTTTTCATTGGCTGTGTCAGTCCGAAATCGATTGTGACGTCATAATATGGACAATGACGTGATGACATAAATTGTGAATGGCGCAACAAAATGGCTACATTTGGCTTTAAAATTAAAACCTGTCAAAATGTAAGTTTTCTAAGTTATGTGATAAAGAATCTCTTACATTTGTTTTCATTTCATATGAGTGTTATGAAACTCGTCTCAAAGTTGTTGTTTTCGCCAAGGCTCGCAAAAATAAAAACTCCTAAGACTCGTTTCATAAAATCTAATATGAAATGAAAACTCAGTTAAGATTCTATATATATATATAGCCAGATTTGCCAGTGTTCCAGTACCTGATCATAAACCAAGAACGGATATGGAACATATTCTGACGTGAAAGGAAGCACTGGAATAATGCATCCTTTCTAGTCGGCGAAAAAACTTGATGAACCCCACAACACACCAAAGAATGTAAGCCGTTGGTCAGTCAGCTAGTTAGATCCAGTCCAATATGACTCGCATAATCTCTTCAGCAGAGCTGAGAAACTTACAATAGTCACATCATTCATCATAGGGTCTCTTTAGAAAACAGTGCACTTGATTGAAGGTATTCTAATTGTAAGCTCATGATCACCTGACACTAATTATAAGTGCCTATGGTCATTAGCTTATAGAGGCATCATGATTCATCGCGATGCATGAATATTTTTACATATTGAGGTAATTAAAAGCAATAGAGGCCCTCTTGGCCTCTTAAATGAGAGCATTTTTACATACTTTCAATGCGGGTAGCTGAAATGTTGTTTATCTCTGTCAAGTTAGAAAACGTGTACTTTTAGTTTACCGATTGAACTTAGTTTCAACAAATATGTTTTGAAGGGATGCTGAAGATGCAGTGAGGAAGAGGGATGGTTACAACTATGATGGCTACACATTGAGGGTCGAGTTCCCTCGAGGAGCTAGGGGCCCCCCAAGTTTTGGAGGAGGTGGCGGTGGCGACAGAGGAAGTTTTGGTGGTCGTGGCGGAGGAGGCGGCGGCGGTGGAGGAGGCAGAGGCCCACCATCCAGGAGATCAGAGTTCAGGGTCCTTGTTTCAGGCATGTAGTACTAAAATAACAGAAATTGTATAGAAGAAAACAATGTAAAACAGTGTTTTTCACAAGTGTATTATTGTAAATTTAGATGTACATCTTCTAAGCATTTTTTAGACATTCTCGAGATTGGACACGTTATTATATATTTGTATGGTAATCCACAGTACTAGTTGAATAGATAATTTGCTATAGTCTTGCATCTGTGTAACTAGTTCAAGATTTCCTTCATCAAGATAATGGATATTGGGTATGGCTAAATTTATAACTGACAAAATCCGGAAGTACGGCAAATGCAAACACTTTATTTCACTCTATTTCAGCGAAGGGTTGGTGGGTCATAACTTTACAGTACCAACTCAATTTCAAATGGGTTAACATATTTTTTATTTATAATTAATTCACAGTAATAAATGTCACATCAAGTACTTAACCCAAAATGCATAACCTGATTTGTTACAATCGCTATCAACATGACTGCAGGAGAAGGAAAAGGTATGTTCACTTCTCAAACGGTAATCTACCGGTCATTGTCAATATCTGAAGTACCTTTTCTCATCATTTGAACGTCTCTTAGATAAAGTTATTAGCAAAATAACATGTAGTTATACCGATATTTTTTAATGATTGGACAAAATTTCAAATTATTAAATGTATTCTTTTTGGCACATATTTCAAATGATAATCGATTACCGATCAGTCTTCAAAGCCCGATTATCGATCTTCAAAATCGGACCGATTCCCAGCACTCCAAATCAGAAGGACCAGATAGGTTAGGATTTTCTATTAGGCCAAAAAAATTATATAGTCTGTTTAGGGTTGCATTGGCAAAAATACTAGGGTAGGTAGGTCAGATTTTTTTTATTTTTTTTTTATATATTCTTTGGTCATGTGATTATGACCCTACTATTGTATGTAAAACAAAGAATTACATAAACAAGGTTCATTTGGAGGCAAATTGTGCTCCATATGATGACATATTTAGCACCAACATGGAGCTGGAAGCCATTTTGAAAGGCAAGGAACCCTAAACAGACACCTTTTTTTTGGCCTTACAGAAATATTCTAGTCTTGGACTACATGACTAGTGTTATTGTGTAACCCTGCATTCTGAGATATTGCCTTGTGGTTTACTGTTAAAATGCTTCTAGACCCTCTCTTTGTATTGGCCTGTTTTACAAGCATTGGGTAACCTAGGCTACTCGACAAAGTGTTCCCTTGGGTGCTCCACTCTCCCACATTAGACCCTCTCTTGGAATTTAATCTGGGCAAACAAGAGTGATAGATATAAGGCCAAACAAAAAATATTTTATTTTTCCAGTTACCCTACCTTCCCTAACTTTTTGTGCCTACCTAAACTGTTTAAGGCAAGTTTCACTTGAAGCACTGTGAAAGTCGAGATCACTCTCATACATGTACATATAAACCATATAAAATTATTTGTTAAAATGAAATTTGTTACCTTCATGTACCTACCTACCCTAATTTTTTCCAATATGTTACAGGAAACATATATATAGTGTTGGGAATCGCTTGTAAATTCATACTCAATCATCACTTCCAATCAAGTGACTGATGATCGCCTAATGATCGATCAAATTGAACTTAAATTCAATAATTTAAGGTTATATTCGCTTTACAAAATCTACTTTCACTTTCATTGCCGGGGGAAACCTGATGTTAGATAATTTAGCTAATAACGCCTGACATTCATACAAAAACAATATGTTTGTTGACAGAACCTTGTAAATATTGAAAAATATGTATTTGGAAATGAATTTGATGATGTTTGCAATATCCATTATGCTGCGACAGCTGCATCTTGTATTCAGAAATGCTGCAATGGATTGGCATTCACCTGATAACACCCCGTCAAACTTAACATTTTATTTGTATGATAGCCAACACTTATAACAAAGCGTTTTATTTATATCCAGCTAAAGACGAAACAATACCTTCCAAACGTTAAAATAAGTAGCCCCCGGATGATCATACTCTTGAGTTAAATCTCCGGAAAGTCCTGGTTTGCCATATTGTCACGCACTGACTGAGCCATGCAGCATTTCTATTGAAACGCAAGTTCTGATTGGTTGACGGGTGGACCAGCTAGCCAATCAGTGCTGTCGTTGTGTGGGATATTAGGTCAAGTTCTTTTGCCAAAGAACGAACAACTCACTGTCAGCATGATAACAGTAACTATCAGAGTTTATTTTATGTTAATACTTAAATTAGTCAAACTATAATCGATCATGGATAACAGGGATTGATTAATCGATTTTCAGAAACAAACAACATTATGTCGACTAAATCAATTAATCGGAACAACACTACATATATAAACATGTTTCTAAATTAAGATATTGGGTTTGTTTATAAATACAATTTAAACATTTGTATTGAATGTTGAATAATTTCTTTCAGGGCTTCCTTCGTCTGGCAGCTGGCAAGATTTGAAGGACCACATGAGGGAGGCAGGTGATGTGTGTTACGCCGATACTTACAAGGATGGCACTGGCGTGGTCGAGTTCCTACGAAGAGAAGACATGAATTATGCCGTACAAAACCTTGACGACTCAAAGTTCCGGTCCCACGAGGTATTATATCAGTCATTTCAAAGTCAATGAAAAACAAGTGCTATAGGACATTATTGTCATCATTCATCTCTTCAAACTGGTACGAAGATTTCATCTTCAGAAACTGCTTTACCGTGGAATAGTGATGGGCTGATGATCAATTATAATCAAAAAGCGATCGGTTTGTCCTTGCCTATTCTGATTATCTGACAAATTGGAGGCAGGGTAGTCTAGTGGTAGGACGCAGGGCTTGTGACCGAAGGGTTGCAGGTTCGAGTCATGGCACTGTGTTGTATCTTTGAGCCGCTTGTTCCAGTCTACAATGAGTACGTGGTTGGGCAGTGCTAGAATTGTAGAATGCTAGCTGTGAGTGCCGAAATGGCAGCACCACTTTTTAATTGATCATCAATTGGTTTACTACTTCTGATTACCAACAGATTATCTATTATGATTTTAAACCGATTGCCTGTGATCACTACTGTTGAAATATTTATCAGACTGAATTTGGGTGGCTGGTGCGTGGTGCTCCACTGCTGTTGTCCATCCATTCATTGATAACCAGAAAGTAAAAAGTGTCGACAACTAAATTTGACTGGCAGACATGTTGTGCGCTGCTGTCCGCCAACAGCTGGCTATGTTTTCCTTGTAATTCTTGGGTAATCTGTCCAAATCATTTAATATTCTTATTGCTCAGAGAGTCTGGAACCAAAACATTTTGTGTAGAAATGTTGTGAGATTTTGTTTCAAATGATCAACATTATAAACCTGTACTTTATCAAACTTCTGTTTCTGCTGCCCGAGGTTCAGTTATTTTCTGAACTGTCTTCAATTTTATTTGCTGTCATTGTTATCTTGAATGAAAAATAAGGCCCAAAAAAATGTTTTACTTGGTTCTCAGGCAATTTTTTTTACATGCCAAAAATGAGACGAGGGCGATATTTTTTTATTGTGTAGTTTTTAAAACGTTCATTGTGGGCATTACCTTGTCAAATGTGTCCGTGTTTTGTTGCCCAACACAGACAGATACTTAAGCAGAGCGGAGTTTATCTGGGAACAACCACGTTCTGAGATTGATGTTATTGGTTTTTAGCTCACCTGGTCCATAATGTGGCCTCCGTCGTCGGTCCGTTAACAATTTCTTTGAACGACTTCTTCTTCTTAACCTGATTGGAATTTAACTAAATTTGACTGGAAGCATCCTTAGGTGGTGGGGAATCAAAATTGTACAAATGGTGGAGCTGACCCCCCAGGGGGCTGAGGGGTGGGGCAAAAAGGGGGCAATTGGCTATATTGCTTTAAGTGGCTTCTTCTCTGGAACTAAGAGATGGATATCAACCATATTAGACTGGAAGCATCCCTAGATGGTGGGGATTCAAAATTGTACAAATGGTGTGGCTGACCCCCCAGGGGGCTGAGGGGCGGGGCCAAAAAGGGTTATTTGGTTATATTGCTTTAAGCGACTTCTTCTCTGGAACTAAGTGATGGATATCAACCATATTAGACTGGAAGCATTCCTAGGTGGTGGGGATTCAAAATTGTACAAATGGTGTGGCTGACCCCCCAGGGGGCTGAGGGGCGGGGCCAAAAAG